CGTCTGAGTCGGACTGGAGCTCTCTGCCCTTTACCAATCCAGCCACGGGCCCATCCATCTGGCCCATCAAGACTCACTCTCATTTCATCAGTCCATAAAACCTTAGAAAAATCAGTCTTGAGATATTTCTTGGCCCAGTCTTGACGTTTCAGCTTGTGTGTCTTGTTCAGTGGTGGTCGTCTTTCAGCCTTTCTTACCTTGGCCATGTCTCTGAGTATTGCACACCTTGTGCTTTTGGGCACTCCAGTGATGTTGCAGCTCTGAAATATGGACAAACTGGTGGCAAGTGGCATCGTGGCAGCTGCACGCTTGACTTTTCTCAGTTCATGGGCAGTTATTTTGCGCCTTGGTTTTTCCACACGCTTCTTGCGACCCTGTTGACTATTTTGAATGAAACGCTTGATTGTTCGATGATCACGCTTCAGAAGCTTTGCAATTTTAAGAGTGCTGCATCCCTCTGCAAGATATCTCACTATTTTTGACTTTTCTGAGCCTGTCAAGTCCTTCTTTTGACCCATTTTGCCAAAGGAAAGGAAGTTGCCTAATAATTATGCACACCTGATATAGGGTGTTGATGTCATTAGACCACACCCCTTCTCATTACAGAGATGCACATCACCTTATATGCTTAATTGGTAGTAGGCTTTCGAGCCTATACAGCTTGGAGTAAGACAACATGCATAAAGAGGATGATGTGGTCAAAATACTCATTTGCCTAATAATTCTGCACTCCCTGTATATAATATCCCGGCAACCGACTTTTTTTTACTCTCTTACTATATAAAAAAAATCGATTACCAGCATATTACGGTGTGGCTCCATGAGGGAACCGCATGCACTATCTAATGAGGGAGCTCCTCCCCCTCATGTTTTGCAGACGAGTGCCAGGTATCACGTGACGACCCGGCCCTAAATCGAACAGCGTGCTGCCAGAGAAAGGATACCCAGTATCAGATAAAACAGCAGGGGAGGGGGGCTCCAATCTTTGTGTATGCAGAGTGGGTTTTGTTGGAGGCAGGTGTTTGCTGCTTGTGCAGGAGAGAGGCTCAGGGGAGGTAAAGAAGCAAGGGAGGTGGGAGAATTGGTAGAAGATATAAGGGGCTGGGGGCGAATTGGGGGAACATATGAACTAGTGGGAGATATTGGAGGAGGATATAGGGGGCTGGGAGATATTAGGGAAAGATATGAGGGAGTGGAAGATATTGGGGAAAGATATGAAGGGCTGGGAGACATTGAGGAAGATATAAGGGCCCGGGAGATATGGGGAGACGATATGAGGCGGTGTGAGAAAAATGGCGGGAAGATATGAGGTGATAGGATATTATGGGAGAAGATATGAGGGTGTGGGAGATATTGGGGAAGATATGAGGGAGTGGGAGATTATGGGGAAGATATGAGGTGGGGGAAGATATCCCTAAAATGAGGTGGTCACCTCCCTGAAAATGATTTTTTGCATGTTGGGATGTCTTGTATTAGCAATGTAAACTGTGAGAGCAAGCATTGTGGCTTGTGAGCCAGACTGCAGGTGAAGAATACAGGCCCTCTAGCCTATGCCTAAGGATGGAGAGACCCAGTCCCTCTCACCATCTGTCATCTCCTCAAGGTCCTCCCATGTAATCCAAGCCCCTTGAGAGGTCTCGTTCAGCAGGACTAAAGGTAAACCGCGCTCCAAGGATCCTCACAAAGAATCTGTCACAGATACGATCAAACTTTGCAAGTAGCCACTCCATAAGCATAGATGGCTGCTGGGAGGCCATCAAGGGTACAGGCTCTGACAGGACAACCATTTTAGAAGCAAGGCCCTAACACTTCGGTTTGCTCACAAGTTGCAGGACTTGGCAGGACACCAGTGGGGATCGTGATAACTCCCACCGGTCCAAATGGTGGAGGAAACAGGCTTCAAAGCCAGTAAACACAGGAAAAGGTTGGGAATTGGCCACTTCCCCCTTCTAAAATGTAGCTACAGGCCACAGGTAGGTCTGTCACCAGCTGTGTCTGCCGGTTGCAAGCAGGAAGAACCAAAATAGTAGGCAGAGTGTCCAATTTTAGGTCCAAGATTAGGTTTGCCCTGAGGAGCTCCAGCACCATTCGACTGACTCGATCGGCAGTCAGGCCCCGCCCCTCCAAAAAACATTTTGTAAATTCACATTTTACATTTTACAAAATGATAGGGTCTCCTTTTGGTAAAATTACTAGTTTCCAATCCTTTGTGACAAAAAAGAGATTCGAAATTAAAAACTGTTTAACTTGTCATTTTAAACAAATGATTTATCTGCTGAGTTGCCCATGTGAATTACAATAGGTGGGACAAACGAACATGTATACAATATGAAAAGGAAATTTAATAAACACTCACTATCAAATTATTTTATGGAGCATCATGCTAATAACCCAAACTGTTTACAATACTGTGGTACACAAAGGGTTAATGTGCCATGGAGAGGGGGAGCATTGGTTAAAATATTAACATATCAAGAAATGTTTTGGATTTTAAGTTTACATCCCTAATTCTATTTGGTTTGAATACAGAATTAGAACAAATAGTCTATAACAAAAATTAAAATTTCCAGGTTTTATGTTTACTAGTTTTTTAGCTGTTGATTTTGAAGTAGGATATATATACACATTCTTTCTTTACTCGGAAAAATAAATGATTTTTAAGATTTTTTTTTTAAATGAGTATATTGTATAACATATTTTTTGAATAAGATTTTTATTTATTTATCTCAAAGGTACATATAAGATGAAACATATTGGGACACGTAGGTCCAAATCAGTAAATTATTTATAGGTCGCGCAGGACCAACAGTATCAGTTCGTCCGGACGCGCAGGTCCGTAGTAGACAATTTAAAGATATCTAAGGTAGTATGATAGCATATATTATTCAATGTTATTTTTTCAAGTTTCAGGTGTGGAATTGTACTGGTTGACAGTGTCTCCAGTTTACAGTGCGAGGTCAGCAAAGGGGTAACTTTAAGGTCATGGTCAGTGGTGGATGGTCTGTCCAGGTCATCACTCCTATGTCTACGTGTTGTACTAAGTGGAGGTAGTAGTGTGGTATAAAAAAGTGGTCCAGTCTGAAATATCTGTTATATGGGACGGAATAATGGGTGTAGTACCTGCCGTCGGGGTGCAGGGCCCTCCAGCAGTCAGATAGCTGGTGGGAGTGTAGGATGTTTTTGAGCAGTTGTAGAAAGTGGTCTGGAATTGCTGAGGTGCCCGCGGAAGTGTCAACCCTAGGGTTTAAAGCAGCATTAAAGTCCCCGCCGAGGATCAAGAGGCCCTCCATGAATGGTACAAGTGTGCGGAGTGTGGTTTTCAAAAATTTGCCTTGGGAAACATTAGGAGCGTAAATATTGGCTAGAGTGTACACCTGGCCCAAGATCGTTCCCTTAACAAATACGTATCTGCCCTCTTTGCCTATGAGGGTGTCTTTGTGCTGGAATGGGATCGATTTGTGTATGAGGATTGCAGTACCTTTAGATTTACTTTCCGAGTTATTAACATAATAGCCCTGTGTGTATAAAGGATTGGTCAGTTTCGGGGTATTATCCCCCCTAAAATGCATTTTCTGGATAAAGACAGTATGAGCTTTGTTGGACTTAAAATCTCTTGCCAAAGATCGTTTCTCGGGTGTATTGAGGCCTCTGGCATTAATGGACAGGAGCTTCAGGTCAGTAGTCTGGAAAGGGGATCTGGGGGTTATGTCGCCGGTACCGTGGGGAGGTCCCGAGCTACCCGTCATACCCAGAGGACGAGATAGTCAGCGTCAGTCAGTTTACCCAGTACAATCAATGTATAGATATTTTAGCTCACCTTAAACTCGTAGGAGTTAAGTGTAATCAACAAATAGAACAGTATAACATTCAAAAGAACAATTCAATGTATTACAAAGTTAGTCTGGTCCCAGGCTGAAATATTTACAATGTGTCGGTAGAAGTGACAGAGCAAGAGAACCCACCCGCTCTATTTATGTAAAAAGTATAGAGTGGGATTATAGGGAGCAAGGTGTGTCACTTTCGCCGTGACTTGGAGGGGATCGAGAACCTAGTCAAGAAGCTAGCGTGTTAGTAACATCTATAAGTTTACTACGCTCTCGCAGTGTGTGTGTCTCCTGGCCTCAGTGTAGGTTATTCCTCGTGTTGTTTTATAAGTGGTGGGGATAGGGCTATGGGGTGGGGGCAAAGCAGGGTGGGGGTGCGGCCAGATCCCTCTGAGCATAAGTGTAGCAGAAGCGATAGGTGGTTGGGAACCAGTATAGGGAAGTCACAACCACATGTTCCCTCGTGCAAGGCTGGTAAGCCCTTCCATTTTGCTCTTCGGGGTGTGCGAGGAGAAGGGGCAGGGGAGAGAGAGACAGGAGGGAAAGCCGAGGATAGGGAGAAGGGGAGAGAGAAATAGGTAAGAAGATGCAGGGGTCATGGAGGGAGGAGGGGAGAGGGGAGAGAAGAAAAAAGAAGGGGCCCCAAGGGCCACTGGTACTCAGCTGTCGTAGTTTACAGGAGCAGCATGTTACAGGTCAAAGGCAACAGGCTCCATAGTTTGGACATGCGGTTGACGTTCGGGTGTGAGGATGAAGGTGGGAGGACTCGGTGTTAGCAGTGAAGTTGTTAGGCTATTGTGCTGGCCGCCCTGGCCATCATCTGACGAGGTCTCCTGTCACTTTGAGGTAATGCTGGAAGGCCTCTGTCCGCTGGGCAGTAAAACTCAATGGGGTCCAGCCATGTCATATTCAAGGGTGGGAGGGACAGGACTGATCCTAGGTGGTCCAGGTCAGCCACCGGTACCTGATGTCTCTGGCCTGCAGGGTGCGGGTGAGAGGTTGTTTCATCTTCAAAAAGTGTAACGTGGCTGGGGAGAAGTCTGGGAAAAGTTGAAGTTCCACTTGCAGGTGTCTTATAGTGCCTTTGTCTCAGCATATGACGCCCCGTGGTGGTGCTTCAAGGGGTCCCCTCGGGCGCAGGGCATGGTGGGATCTAATGAAGGCCACAGGGGTCACCAAATCTCTCTCTAGGATGGCATTAAATATTGTCTCCAAGATGAAGCATAGTTGCGTCAGGGTGTCTTCCATTTCAGGTAGGCCCCTGAGCCTTAAGTTATTCCGGCATCCCCGGTTGTCTAGATCCTCCACGTGAAGGGCCATGCTCCTCAGGTACTCCTTTTCAGTCCGGAGGATCCCCTCTGTCCGGTTCTGGACTATATGTAGCTGGTCACACGTTGCCTCTATTCGGCCCACTCGGTCGCTCAGTTCCTGCAGATCCTCGTGTAGGGCCTGGATGTCCATTCTAATTGTGGTCTGCAGTGCGTTGTTGGCAGCCGCCAAGTCGTCCCGGGTGGGTAGCACTCTCAGTAGCGGCAGCCATGAGTGGTCCTCAGGAGTGGGAGAGCACTCTGCCAGTGAGAAACATGGGGAGATATCTTCCCGTCCATCTGAGGCCTCCTCTGACGTGGCCTGGGACAACAGGTCTGCCGGGGTGAACAGGTAATTCCAGGGGGATGGGGTGAGAGACCCCTTTTTGGGTTCTGTATGTTTCTGCGAGCCAGGAGCTCAGTTAGATTTTCCCATTAGGGCGGTATTGTAGGGATAACCAGCTTATAAACACAAGGCCACGGAGCAGTAAGAGATTAAGCGGCCATCTCGGATCAGCGTCAAGCCCCCATATAACATATTTTAATGGGTTAATCTTATATATATATATATATATATATATATATATATATATATTATGCAGTATTAATTTTGGAGCATTATAACATCCTTTTCTTATGACTTCTACGTAGAAGTATAGCTCAGGGTGTCGAACAAAAGATAAGGAACTGAATTAAGAGGTAAAGTTATATATCGTTATTGTAAGTAAATATATTGAAGGGCTTCATCACATTCAAATCCGAGCAACTTGTAAATTGACATAAACTATAAGTTAAAACTATTATGTGAGCGCTCCAAATAAGTATCAACACCGCAGCAGGACAGGAGCTGTCCCAGCTCCTGTCCTGCTGCGCCTGAGAGCGGCCCATAGGGGGCTCCCGCTCGCCTCTGACCCCTCTGCATGGCTCCTTCCTCCTCAGCCCCTGCAGCTCCTCCATGTCCCTGCAACCTCCTGTCGATGACCTGCCCTCTCCTCTCCTGTCATCCTGGCAACTTCCTGAGGGCAGGGATTCACCCCCCCTCGCAGTTCCCATCTGCCCAGAGACGCTGCTGCCCCTGTCACTGCTACCTGTCCTGGACCTATTCCCTGTGAGGGTTAAGCCCGTCCCTGACCTGCCATCTGCCACTCCACCTGCCACCTGAGGGGGCGCTGGCGTCGAGCTGTCCTCTAGCACCCCATCCCCCTGCCCCTCAGTATCGCCACTAGGGGCGGACTCACCGGGGCGCTGGAGTTCCGGACCGTTGCGGCACTGCTGCCTGGCTGCCTTCCCAGCTGAACTGGATCCAGCCGCGTCCTTCTGCCTCCCGCCCGCGGACTTGCGGAGGGGCACTCTCCTACCGGTGGGCTTCCAACTAGCGTCCACCCGGCGCGTCCTTCCACCTGGGCCGACTTTTCCACACTATGTGGCGCTGGACTCCTCCTCCTCCTCGCCGCCGGTGTTTCGGGTGTGTCTGTGTGTGAGTAGGAATGCATTGTATGTTACTGTGTGTTTGTGTGTGTGGGGGGGATGCATTGTGTAAGTTTGTAGTGCAAAAGAGAGGGTTTGTGTGGTAGGATAGGGACTGACAGGGGAGCATCTCTTAATTTTGTAAAAAAAAATTTATAGTGCTCTCCCCTCCTGTCAATTATTGATTTCCCCTTCCCTCCTGTCCCTTCGTGTTCTCCCTTTATGTCCCTTAGTGCTCTCCCTTGGCCCCCTGTCCCTCTGCAGTCGCCCCTTGGTGGTCTTCTCACTCCCCCTCTCCCCCCTTAGTGGTCCTCCATCCCTCCCCTTAGTGGTCCTCCCTCTCCCAAACCCCTTACTAGACATTCCCCTCCTCCCCCACCCCCTTAGTGGTAATCTCCCCCCCCACAGTGGTCATTATCCTCTTTCCCCTTCCTTAGTGGTACTTACCCTCCTCCCCTCTCCTTAGTGGTCCTCCATCCTTACCCCCCTTTGGTGGTCCTTTCCCCCCTCAGTGGTCCTTTCTCCTCACCTACCCTCCCCCTGTGTTCCTTCACCCCCCTTCCCCAGTGGTCCTTTCCTCCCTCTCCCTCTCCTCCTCCAGTGGTCCTTACTCCCCCTCTGGTCCTTACCCCCCTCCCCTGGTGGTCCTTACCCCACCCTCCCCTGGTGGTCCTTACCCCCCCTACCCTGGTGGTCCTTACCCTCCTCTTCCTTCCTGCCTATGTAGCACGGCCGGGCAGTGTGGAACGTGGGACAGGAACTTCTGTTTCCTGTACCCGGCTGCTGGCAGACTGAAAGGAAGCGCTCACTCAGTGAGCACTTCCTGTCAGTCCGCCGGCGGCCGTGTACAGGAAACAGAGGTTCCTGTCCCGCATTCCGCGCCGCCCGGCCACGCTACATTGAGAGACCAGCAGGAGGGAACGCTCTGTGCTTCCCTCCTGCCAGTCACTCAAATCCGGCCGCCCTCCATACAGCAGTGCTGCGCCTCCTGAGGCTTGCTAAAGCGCTCAGGTGGCGCAGCATGAGGAGCCGCACCGGTGATTCCGGGCGCAGGGATCCGGCGCCCCCTGCTAAGTTGCGCCCGAGGCGGCTGCCTATGTCGCCTTAAAGGTAGCGCCGGCCCTGAGTGTATCTCTCTCCTTTCTGCTCTGAGACCTGCTAATTAAAGCCTCAGCAGTTGCTAACTGGGCAGGTGAATGAGTACAAGCTATGGAGGATTCTGGCTTCTAAATACCTTCCTTCTATTACCCTCCCATAGACTCTGTCACAATATATATATATATATATATATATTATTATGTATATATTAATATTAAAATACACTTAGACTATGTATGTGTATGTGTGTATATATACTTAAATATGATCTTGTTACCGGAGGACTAACAGGAACAAACCGCAGAAGCCACACATAGAGATATGGACACAAGTCTTCAGGAAGTAACAGGTCTTTTATTTACACACCGATCGGGTCTCAAACTGAACTTGTGTTCAAAAAGTATGAGCCCAGAGCATAGTATGCACAGGCTATTTATTAACCCCTTCAGGACAGAGTCAATAGTGCACGTTCTGATCAAAACAAAACGTAAACAAAAACTGGAATTTGCGCCAAATGTCTGTCCAACCGTAATTCACCGCTGTCACATTAAGTGCCCCCACACTTATTATATATCATTTTGTTCAGGAGAAACAGGGATTTAATTTATCATTAACTATTCATATATGGAACATAATTTATTATGAATAAAATTTTTAAAAAAATTAGAAAATAAGATTTTTTTTTTAATTTGTATTTCCGTCTGACATTTTAGCAGTTAATGTCATAATACTGTTAGGTTTTACTGCAAAAAAATGCACATATTTGTAATCAGCGATGTCTCACGAGTACAATAGAACCCCCCATTAACAGGTTTTATGGTGTTTTGGAAAGTTACAGGATCAAATATAGAACGTTCCATTTTCAAATTGTGTGAAAAAAACGTTCATATTTATTTTTGTGTGAAAAAAGCAAAAAACTAATATTTGGCCAGTGTTTGTGACTAAGTGGCTACTAAGAAAGACTGGACATACCCCACTTGCAATACCTTGGGTTGTCTACTTTTGCAAATGTTATGCCATCATGGGGGTAATTCTCATTCCTGGGCTACCATACGCTCTCAAAGGCAACATAACCAATCTGGCAAATTTCAATGTCAAAAAAACGAAATGCAAGCCTTATATGTGACTCTCTAACTTTCCAAAACACCATAAAATCTGTACATGTGGGGTACTGTTATTCTCGGGAGACTTCACTAAATACACATATTAGTGTTTTAAAACGGTAAAACGCATGACAACAATAATATAAAAGTGCCGGTCGTTTGTAAAAAATGCAAAAAACTTCACTATTACTTAAAATATCATCGTTGTAATACAATTTACCAGTTTTAAACATTAATATTTGAGTTCAGCAAAGTCTCCCGAGTAAAACAGTGCCCCCCATGTACAGGTTTTATGGTGTCTTGGAGAGTTACAGGGTCAAATATATTGCTTGCGAATTTAATTCTCTGCATTTTCTCCCTGTGTTGTCAGGCATGTCAATCAAATTTTAATTAATCAAATCACATAATTATGTTAAAAGTTTACTTAAATATACACGTAGAATTTAAATATATATGCATTTATAGGTATTTAAATTCTAAATGTATACTAATGTAATCTTTTATTTAATTATATGTATTTATCTATATATATATTTGCGGTTATTTGTATTTTATACATAGATAGACATATATAGAATGTCATTCTAAGTGTATTTTGTTACCAATATATATATATATTAATACCAAAATACAGTTAGAATGAAATTGCATATGAATATATAATTTATATTACATTTTGTTTAAATATTTTATTTATTTATTTTATTACTTTATTTATTTATTATTGTAATTATACGTGTATATATATATAATATATGTGTATATATCTATTATATATATAATATATATACATATAATATATATGTAACGTCATTCTAAGTGTATTTTAATATTAATATATATACTAATATTAGTATTAAAATACACTATATATGACGTTATATATATATATAATATGTATATATATTATACATATAATATATATATATACATATATTATATATATATATAAATACATTTAATTAATTTTAAACATGTTTATTTATTTTTTTACACTACCTACCAGCAGGGGGACTGTCTGATATTTCAGACAGCCCCCCTGCTGGCAGATCCATAGCCAGCTATAGGGGGCCATGTGATCGCTCTTTGAGAGCGATCACATGGCCCCCGTGGGCCTCATTCACAGGGGGAGGGCTGCCTGGGCTGTCAGGCAGCCCTCCAGAAGAGGATCGCGGTGGAGGTAAGTCCACTGGACCTCCCCTGGGCTTAAGCCGTTACGGCGTTCTATGCCGCCGCAACGGCTTTAAAGCCCTTTAAAGCCGCGACAGCATAGAATGCCGTAACGCCGTTAAGGGGTTAACAATAACTCCTCCCATTCATAGCTCCACTCACACATACCCTTAGACCAATCAGTGATCAGGATATTCAGGATCACCTAATATGGGCAGACCGTATGACTCCTTTTAAGGACAAATGAATGTGACTACAGTTGATGCACATGCTCAGTACATTGATGACAGTATCTTAGCTACATGTAACTAACTAACAGATACAACAAACACCTGTACTTGTATATGCCACATGGAGATTTCAGGCTTACTAAATTTTGAACCATGTTGAAATCCCATCACATTCCCCCCTTTGATGCTTCTCATACAAAGTTATTCCAGATGCATCACTAATCATAATTTGCCAACACCTTTAAAGTAACCATGAGCCGGGACAGAC